ACACTCACTCTCTCTCTCTCTCTCCTCTCCTCCTCCCCCCCTCCCCCCTTCCCTAATCAAAACATCCAGTTGACTTAAGATCTTTGGGCTAGGGACATAGCTCAGTGGTAGATCACATGCTTAGCATGCACAAGGTTCTGGGTTCAATCCCTAGGACCTTCATTAATAAATAAATACAGAAATAAGAAAATATCATCAATGTGATAGCACTACATGAAATAATTAAAGTGAAATATGACTGACATGTTAGCAAGTGAAGCTTTACCCTACATAAAGGTCAGAATTCAATTAAGCATTTCAAAACTCTGGAAAAATCTTAGAACCTAATAATCAATCTCTCAGAATCCCTGAGAAGTATAGGGACTCCAAACTGTGCACTTTAGAAGTCTCTCAACATCAATAGAAACACCCGAGTCAAAGATGACATTTTAAAACTCTATTTCTTATGCTTCTATATATTTTTCAAACATGGATACCGATAATAACATCTACCTTACTTATGTCATCTTTCAATTAAATTTAAAAAAATAAAAGGAATTAGAAATAAGAAAACTGTACTTCATTTCAGAGTTAAATTTGTATTGCAAAATTTACCTGATATCAATCTTTGTAAATTCACCATTTCTCCTGTTTTTTTAGGAACAGAATCTTTCACTCCAACTGCAGGCTGTATGGTTTTTGAAACAAACCGATTAATAATGTAATTTGATACAATCTGTAGTAATAATTAAAGGGGGGGGTCTAGCTCAGTGGTAGAGTGCCTGCTTAGCAGTGCATGAGGTCCTAGGCTAAATTCCCAGTACCCTCATTAAAAAAAATATTCAAGATAAAAAGTATTGAAGTTTTTACCTTCAGGTGAGGATATTTTTCAGCAGAATCTAAAAGCCAAAAGGGACACATAATCAATTATATGTAAATATGAAAGCCAACTATCCAGTCATGCAGTTAGTACTGAGTGCAATCCTCATGCTTGCTTTGGAAATGAATACATTAGGTTTCAGTGTTTTGTTTTTCAGGGGCAGTTAGGACAGCAACAAGACAGACGTATGAATCCATTATAGATACTGAATAAAGAGCAGGAATATAGGCTTAACAAAACATGCAGTTAAGATTTCAAAAGTACGATTATGTTTCAAATGACTTTATAAAATACAAACGTGCACATATACAAACGTGAACATGCTGCCTGAGGAGGAGGAAAGCGATCTTTAATCAGAGGAACAAGTCACGGCTCCAAGAAGACAAATGTGAAAGCTGATGGCAAAATGCAACAGCACATCTTTCATGCGACTGACACCATTAGACTACAAGTATTTATCATGCTCCTCAATTTGTCCTGTAATTTAGGAAGTCCAGTTGTGATGGCAGTTCATTTGAATGTGCAATTCACTTCTCGTCAGAGAAAATGTTATGAATTGATCAGCTTGGATACACACTTGTAGAATAATCGTTCATAAAAATATTCATTTTTTCCCATACCCACGTGGGCTATTGGCATGCCTACATTTCTTGGATCCTCTAGCCATCAAAGTTTCTTGATCCACTCATGCAAGAAAGAATGTATACTGAGTTTTCAATATTGAAATCTGGTGATCAAAAAAAAATTTCATTGCCACAGAATTATTAGACGAAAGAAGTCTTATATTTCAAAACCTGTGTAGTATTCACTGAAAATAACAACTGTAGCATTTATGGAATGAATCCTATTAATTTATTTCCAAAATTGGTTTGGTAAATCAGGCTAATGTTTAAAAGGATTTTTGTGAAACAAATATCTTATCAAAAAATTAGGTATCATGGAAAAAAAAACAAACCACCACCACAGCCAATGCTTCATATTCAAATCAATCTCACTTGAATAACACATACCAATACAACATTATCTTTGAAGCCTGATAGAAGGAGTGGCTGTGGTTTATCCCAATTCTAGGCCCCCTCCTGATTCCAGTATTCTCTGGAGTGGCAGTGATCTAACCTGGCTTCAGTGCAAATTTACTGACGCCATCGAGAAGGAGTCCTCTCAAGTTTCCCCCTCAATTCCAAAATCACCTACCTGCAGCCTTTTCCCCCTCCTTCCTTCCTTTCACTTTCCTCTTCAAAGGTACCTCTAGACCTGTGGTCTTAATTCTTCCCCTTCTCTATTCTTTGGACGGATGATGCCCACCACTTCTTTTCCCTCTCTGCTCAGCAGCAGTA